GTTTGAAAAATTTCGTGTATTAAATGCAAAAGTCGTTACAATTTGTATTTTTTTAGAAATACAAGTGGGTGTTAATCTTTTCTTGTGACTGAAGAACTGCAAAATCCTCTGATTTGATCTGAGAGTTTGAACACGAGGGACCACGTGGCTTGAAATATATCATGGACTTCAAGATTTGTTGGAAACTTGATTTGTTGACAACTTGGCTTATTTGACGCTTGAACTTCAAGGCTGGAATTTGCATTTCGAGACTTGGACATAAATTTGATTTAATTTGGAGAAGACTTTGATCTTTTAGACTCATCTTGGATTTGCTTGAATTTGAAGAAGATTTTGATCTTCTCGGCGTTTTTGGACTTAGGCTTGTTCTCTTAAACCAGCTTTAAAATTTCTTCTGCACTTGTGATTTTTCCTATAGTCTTCACTTGTGAAATTTTATGGACCTTTGTCCTATTTATAGAGAAATTCACCATCAATTGGGTAACAAATTATCTTTAATTAAAATAATAATTGAATTATTATGAATTTTGAAAAGGTAGGATATGCCTTTGAATTTTATTGGCCTTAGTAGACTTTAATAAACTTAATTGGGCTAATTATTTAAATTGATCCAATTCATTAAATATTCTATTTTTTATGTTTACAAATACCCTCTCGAGATTTATTTATTTATCGTCGAAATAAACAAATTAATAAATCTTGAATTTAAATTTGGATTTTATTATTTATTTAATTTCTTATACACAATCCATAACTAATTTGATTTTGAACAAGCTTCCTATCCTTGATGGTAAGTTGGGCTTTAAAATTCGATATCCACCTATTTATATGCACAAACTATGATATTTGAAAACAAGTAGGTTAACTTTGCAAGCAAAGGTAAAGAGAAAAAATTTAACTCCCCAATCATTGTAGGTTTTCTCTCTCTCTCTCTCTCTCTCTCTCTCTCTCTCTCTCTCTCTCTCTCTCTCTCTCATGGTTTCTGGCGCCGGCATAAACAATTTCTAATTAAACCTAATTAGTTTTGGTTTCTTTTCTTTTTCTTTTTCTTTTTTTCATTTGTTTTTATTTAAAGCGTAACTGTACATTTTTTCCAGTTTTTTTATTAACCTTTTATTTTGACCTTCTCTTTTTTTTTTTAAGTAAAATTGTTTTAATAAAGTCGAAACTAACATTCTTCATTTTTTCTTTTAGGGATTCGACTTTTGAAGTAGGTCAAGAATTTTGAGGTTCGAGACCTTTTTTGTGGAGAGTTTAGATTTCTGGTTGAAGTTCAAATACATATGAATAGACTCAAATTTCAGACAATTCTGTGCACATTGAGGACCAATGACTGTCATATTTGATCGTTCAAAGCATTTTGTGTTGAGGACAAAGGATCGACTCCTTTGATCGTCCAATGCACTTTGTGTTGAGAACCAATGACCGACTCCTTCAACTGTTCAAGATACTTTGTATTGAGGACTAAGAATTGGCTCCTTCGACCATCCAAGGCACTATGTGTTGAGGATTAATGATCAACTCCTTTAAATGTCCAAGCCATTTTGTGTTGCGAACCAAGGATTGGCTCCGTCGACCGTCTAAGGCTGCAGGTCATTTACATATTTGGTAGACTCGTAATTTTAGATAATAAATATAAGAATATGAATTCAAAATATTTAATGTCCAATAAAATTTTATTGCTGATCTTTTTGCTTACTGATTTTCTCATTATTTATTTATTTATTTCATAGGAATGACTAAGATAAATTCTAATATAAAGTATATTTTGATATGCACAAAATCATCGCGTTCAAAAATTAAGGTAGAAGTTATTTTTGTTTTAAAGATACTGATGTGAAGTACCATGGCTAGTTCAACAAGCGAAGTGAACTTAAACTAAGCATCCATAGAGCAACGACATCTCCTTCTCCTGATCCTTCCTTGCCTTTGTCGGAATTGCATATGCCTATCGTGAGTGAATGCCATGAAAATTTGGATGCTGCCCAGTCTAGGTGTTCTAAATCATGGAGCTCATCCCAAAGGCAGTAGCTTTGAAAGGTTGACAATAAGAAAATACAAGAGAAAAGTGCACCTGCGGTCGTGGAGAGATTTCTTATCTTTTAAAGTTTTGGGAGTGATCTACTTGGATCTAAAAACTCCTGCTGAAGAGAAATCTTCACGAGTTAACTTCTGCAGTCACCTCTGCTACAAAAGATTATCGTCTTCCAAACTCTATCTACAGAACTCTTTATGAGGTTCGATGTCCAAATACTAACACTTTTGTGACCACAAGTAGTGAAATTGACATTTCTCTTTGGGACATCCATGAGATTAGCAGACTTTCAATCATGTGTCATTATTATAAAAAAGTAGTCCTAAGCCTTGTAGAGTTGATGGACTATCTCCCTAAATCTTGCTTCTAACTTTTTAATGTTTTCTCATTAATTGCTAATGAGAAAGAATTCGACTGCATTATTCATGCTCCTTAGGCTGAATTCTAGTTTCAAAAAATTGGTTGTGTCCAAAATCCTCGACAAAATAAAGCTCATAAAAATGCCATGAATTTAAATGTGTTAGCAAAGGGGCACCAATAGAAATAAGGAAGCCCATGGTTGTAGACAAGCCGAAAGACATTTCTTGTTGAAATTGAGGTCATTGAAGTGATTTGTCAATATCTTTGTCTAT